AWTWTTTTTWWWAWTWAWYMARKTTTWACATAATTATGATGCACTGTCTCTCTGAGGTGTTACCAGGCATCTCCTTTTGCCAGACTACCCATGAAGCCATCAGTGTGAAACCAAGGAGCTTCTCTGATCAATATTTAAGACGTCTTAATAAAAAGAATAAAAATCTTACCTCCAACATCTATGAAGTGCTTTGCAGCTAAACCAGAACGTGGTGCTAGAAAAKAATTTTTTTGTAAGTATTACAATTTATGTCTCTAAATACAATATGTATAGGTTATATAGTGTGTTTCCACAGCATCTTGGCAATGAGAATTGTTTCCACAGTCTTTTTAAAATAAACATGATATTACRGGGAATTACAGTAAGAATTTACATATATATTAAACAAAATAACAGTTGCTACAGGATACAATGAAATTGCAATCTTTTAGTGATAGAAATGAATTTTTATTCAACCTTATTGCAGAGTAGGTTTCTCCAAGGAAGGCAACTGGAGCAGACAAGGTCTGCCTAATCTTGGTTTATTTTTGTTGACTACCACTGTTTTGGCAGCATCTCAGAAGAATATTGGGTCAATCCATTTAGGTTACGATGGAAAACAGTATTCAGCAAGCAATTTCCTACGCAGTGTTTGTGATCTGAATTCTGAAACTGCAGAGAATTAATGAACTACTGCACAGCCTATAAAGATGTACGTAGATTACAAGCCCTTTTGATGATCCTTTTGTCSCTTGACATACATCAAACCTCAAATGTATTTGACAACCAGAAAATGTCTGTCACAAGATTGAGTAAATCACACAGCCATGTGACATCCCTTTTTTGTGTAGACTAATTCTGAAAGCTTTAGGGGGAATCTAAAGTCAAGATGGCCTCAAACCTGTTCTAGGATGACTCTGCAACCTTTTTACAGCTTGTGTACTCACCTACTCGGCCATAGCATCCAGAAGGAAGTGCTATTTGAATGTCTGTTTTCACTACAGCCTTTTCCATTGGTGGTATCACACAGTCATAAGCACTGTAAGGAAAGAAATACTAGTTTATAGGGAGTATTTTAAAGATTTCCTTTACTATAACCTAAGGTATAAAATTACCCAGAATTAATCTGCCTGGGAATTTATACAACAAATATTTACAGATTTGCAAATTCTAATGCAGATCCTAAAACACAAGATGTTCCTATTCTGATGGTGCTAGTTTAAGATTCCAGAAGTGTCCTTTGAACAGTGATCCAACTCRTCTCCAGCGAAAACTCCTGCAATTGCTAGCTTTAAATGTTTTTTAATTGGTAAGATAGGCAAAAATTACAAAAAGTTTAACTTTAAAGTAGCCATTAGGTGAACGTGGTTGTGCCTTTTTTTGTGCAAAAAGCAGATAATATGCTCTGATTAAGCTTTCTACAGCAGATGAACTAGTTGTAATCAAAATTAATAATCTATTAAATTACCTTCCAAGAAACAAGGTTTTTTTYCTGAGCAGTCTGTCAGTTCATGATTCACATGATTCTCCAGGGAACTCTGAACTACAGAGATTTTAAGAACTTAGCTACCCAATTGGAAGCTTAATGAARGGCAGCGGGGACAAAACTTGTCATATCTTGACCTTGACAGAGAACTGTTTTTTAAACACTAGGAAACACTGAAAGGTTTTCTATACAACAGACTTCTTCCAGGTCTACAGTGCACCTACTGGAACAAGAACAAAAACAAATCTCCTGAGACGAAAAGGATAAAGAGTAAAATGGAATTAAGCCTGGTAAAGTAAATCTTCAGAAAACAAGTCAGAGAGGTAAAGGAATTACAAGGCTGATTATTGTAATACTAAAAAAGGTAATTTGAAAGTAGTGGGAGTAAAGTTGAGATGTAACTAGTGACTTGATCACAGAAGCACTATGCAATCACAATTCTGGCTACAGCTATTCCTGTACATAATGAAARACCATTGAACGGGCGTCATTATAAATTCAAACAAATCTCCAGCTAGAAGCACTATCAAACTGCCACAACACCCTTTGGCAGGCAGCACCCCAGAGCCAAGAGGAAAGCAGAAAAGCCCAATCCTGGCAGGAGGGCTCACGTGCGCTACCATTTTCTCCTTTCAACAGGAACGCACCTGGCCAATCTGGGCACCAACAGCAATTCTGGATGGACTTTTAGCCAACGACTGCATCTCTGCCTCATGAAATCAATGCTGTATAGCATGGCTGGACCACAAATAGCCGTAAATGGTCAGAGACGGAGGAAAAGGAGCTACGACTAAGTGAGCTCTGGCCTCCTCGCCTGCATGGCCGAGCCTGACCGSGGGCTCAGCTAGGCAAGAGGTCGCGGGGCCATCTCAGCCGCCAGAGCCCCGCGCCCAGGGCTCGCCGAGCGGGCGGCATCGAGCGAGCGTTTCCATCTCGGGTGCTGTACCCTCACCCTCCCTCCCTCACCTGTACAGATCGTAGCCCGCAGCCCGCGCGGAGCCCCTGGAGGGGGCGAAGGCGTTCTCGGACAGCTTGGTGAAGCGGAGCCGCGCAGAGCCCTCCGTGGGCCCCGAGCCCTTCTGCCTCTTGCTCGGGGACGGCAGCGGCACGGCCTCGGAGGCGGGCATGTCTGAGGGAGCGGGAGAGACGCTGTGAGGGACGGCCARCCGCGCGCCAAAAAACCCGCCAAAACGCGGTACAGCCTATGGGGGCGGGAACAGGGGGGGAAACCGGCCCGTGCGCGGCCTCTCCGTGCGCGCCGCAACCCCCATTCCCCCCTCGGTGAGAATGGCCTCGCCCAGCTCCTCCGGGGCGCCCCGCGCCCGCACTGGGGTCCCGCCCCGTGTGCCAGACCGGACTCGCCCCTCTCCCACAGCCGCAGCTCCCGGTCGCGGCCGTGCGGGCCCCGAGGGGGACAGAGCAGGCCCCTGGTGCGGCTGGGCAGCGAGTGTCCTCCCCAGAGCCCCCGAGGGCCGCGGGCTGGATAGCGTGTGCTCTCCCACARGTTCCCCACTGCCCCTTACAGCGCCCGCGGGGGTTCAGGAGCCACCGGAGGCCCCGGCGCAGCATAGCGCTGCCGCCGCCGTGTGGGGAGCGCACCGTGACCGCCCGCCCGGTGCTCCCCGCCGCGGTCCGCATCGCTCATGGGGCGCGGGGAGAGGTGCCGATGCCCCGTTCTCCCCCAGGCCGGGCTCTGCCTGCCGGCGCAGCCCCTCCGGCAGCGGCCCGGCCCGCGGCGTTCCTCGGGATGCGGCGGCGGSGCTGCCGCGGGATGGCGGGCGGACCCCGCGGGACGCTCCTCGTTGCCGGGGGACGCGATTGCGGCTGCACGGGCGGGCGGGGCCGGGGCCGGGGCCGGCGCGGGGAGTGCGGGAGGGCACGGTTCCCTCAGAGGGGCCGGGGGGCCGACCCCGTTCCCGCATCGCACAGCCCGAGCACAGCGGCCTGCCCCGCGGCCTGCAAGCATCCCCTGTCCGCCCACAGTCACAGGGCGCTTGGGGCTGGGAGGGACCTCTGGAGAGCATCCAGTCTARTCCTGCTGTTAAAGCACATCATCTTAGAGCGGGTCTGCACACAGTAATGGCAGAGACTTCTTCAGAAATGGTCAGGCCATGACAGAAGCGTTTGCCTTATGAAAAGAGAAGAATTCTTGATGATCCAGTAGATGGGAAAAGCTGTCAATGCTTGGCCTGCCCTGTTCTTGTGTCTCAGAGCAGAAGACTCACGATTTCATTGTTTGTAATACTCTGTCCTTTTGCCGTCCAATCTATTATGTAATTTCCCCCTGTATCTATATATTTTTAACTACCTATCTATATATATTGTGTAGGACATAACTATATCCCTAGTAATAGGGATTTTCCTGATTTCTGCTGTGGGCTGAAAAGGCTATCCCATTGCATTCATAGTTTTAAAACTGTCTCTGGTGAGACTAATGAAGGTGTTTGTCTCTCTGCAAAATAGCAACAGACTATTGGATTCTTTTTGCTGGTCTAAATTTGTCAACAATTCTTTGTGATTTAAAAAAAAAAAAACAACAACCCAGTTAAGTGTATGTGATTATCTCCTTGCTATTTACATTTTTTAGGTGCAGMCAGATGGCAGTGAAACCTTTACTACACATTGCAGTTTAGTTGTGAAAGGCATTTTTTTTTAAGACTGTCCCAGTTTGGGTTTTATTTTGTTCCTCTTCAGTCTAAATAGTATGCACTATTTGAAAGAGAACGTGTATATAACACAGACCCATGTGAAAAAACTACTTAAAATGTTTTATCKCTTCTGACGTAAGTGATCAAAAAACCCAAGATTATAGGAATTGAAGTTTTATCAAACTAATACCTTATTGTAAATGCTTATTTGTGTAAACAGGACTTTATAGTGTTTACAACTGCATCCCTCATTGTAGTGTAGACAAGGACCAATTTTATGAATGGCCAGGCTTGGTGAGGCAGGCTGGGGTCTAAACTGTGTTTAAGGTAGCCTGGAAGCCCCTGCATAATAGAGAGGAGGAGTCAACCAAAAATATTATTAAGGAGAAGGGTCTCTGCTGAATGACATGTGTTTTTTTCCCCAGATCTTTAAAAGGGAAGAAAACCACCCCAACTTTATGCCTGAAGCCTGGGCGAGTTTACCTTTGTGCCTGGAAATGCATTGGTGGCTCTGCAGAGTCAGTCTTCCTGCTTTCTTGATTCCTGTTAMCTGTGGACATGTCTCTTGCTTGAAAACTAGAGTTGCTGAAATTGCTTTTGCCATAAAGGTCTTGAAATACCACATGGAATTAGAGAAAAAATGAGAAATGTCTAGGTTTTCTGAGAAKTAGTATTGCCTAGTCAGAAAAGCTTTTGGTAGGACTTTTCAAAGATGTAATCAGAATTTCAGAGGTTTAAGATTGATCAAATTTCCTAGGCAGGTGGGTGGAGCTTTGTGATTGTGAAGATTGAGTGGAAACTTATTTGCGTGTGAAGTAGGATAGCAACATGCTTTTTGTAGTGTAGTTGCAGTTGTTTCTCCTTACTTACAATGCAGTGCCTTTTTGTTTAGGTAGCTTTTCTATTTGCCCTGTTGGATAGCTGATTTAAAAATAAACCAKCTTCTCAAAAATAATCTCTGTTAGGGACTGAAAAACCTAGCAAAAGGCACATTAGAAGGATGCTGTTCTGGACTACGGGTGCATAATCTGGACTGTGCTGTAGGGGTATGTAATCAAGGTGAACAATTTGCCAGTGGTTGTAAAAAGATTTAAGGAAAGTATAGATTGAACTATGATGAAATGCCTTCTGTGAAACCTGTTGGAGCTCCACTAAACATTAGGAGGGAAGGGTAAGATTCACTGATGAGAGGAACAATATGGATCATTCTAACAGGCCCTTAGGCATAAGCTTAGCTGTGCAGGATGCCTGGGCTTTTGAAGAAAATTCAAAATATTCTTTGTTCTTGCTTCATAGCAATGATATTTTCACACTTTAATGTCCCTGGTCACCTTACATTTTCTTGCTTTTGTTGTGGCTGATCAAATCAAACCTAAATTATATAAACTTACAGAATTGATAGTGTGATATAAGCTAAAAATTTCTAGACAGTGTTGGAGCTGTATTTCTTCCTAGAGATGTCAAGCATGTAATTAAAGTTTAGTTACTAACTTGATGATAAAATTCAGCAGTCATTTTATGCATAACTTATACAAAAGTGTCTCTTACAGAGTTGGAAATGAGGTAGGAAGACTTAACAAAATATTGCAATCTCAGTTACAATTTAAAATAGTCCATAATCAGTATGCTCTCCAAATTGGTCCACATACATTCAGAAATCATGGTGAGARCAGGAAATAGAAACTGCTAGGCAAATACTTTGTCTAAATTACTTGTGAATTTGTGGAAATAACACCTTCAGGTAGTTAAGTGCTCTTGCATCCTGAGTTTATCCCATTACAGTTTATCCCTGTTGTGTGGTTACGTCTTCTAATTAATCACTGTAGTCCAAACGAAATTTTACAGAAATGTGTATGTGTACTTACTGTTTGATGACTGTTTATTTAGAAAGGTACCTCTTGGGATTTGTTTTTGCAATGGCCACAGCAGTGTGTTTATGAGAGAGCAGTGTGAATAGTACTGAAAGTTCCATTGCTGGTTCATTTAGTGCTCATTTTCTTTTTGGATCTGTTTAGGTCCCTCAGGAAAGTTTGGGTCAATGTTCTCTATAGATTAAGAGTTACAGTACTTGGGAATATTTAGGAAACAATCCCCAGTCACATACTTAATTAAAAGGCTTAACAGATGTATAATTCCTCCAGGTCCTTGTGTAGATTGTGATAAGAAACACACAGAAGCCTAAGTGGAGCCTCCCTAAAAGCTCTTGTTTCTTGGCATTGGCTGGGTACCATTCAGATTGTATCTCTGTGGTTTGTGAAGTGAGGTGGAAAGRATGGTGACCATTACAATTCTAGAAGGAACTGGGAGGACTTGGCAGCCTGTAACAAGCTCCAGTTTCACTGCTGACATCACTGTGAAGGATGAGAACAATCCCCTGTTTTGCAGATGTAGAATGTGAGCTTGGGTTTGTTCAGAGTTGTGCAGGAAGTCTGGTATAGGGAGGAAACTTTGGTGTAATGCAGTTAGGTTGTAAAATGATCCTTCAGTCTGGTTGTGAATGTATAAGAWGCAAAGGAAGAACATTATGAGAAAATATCAATATTTAATATCCTGCCTTTAATAGATGGAGAAAATAAAGMATGGATTACTGGGCTACATTAACATGTTCTGCTGAATTGCTGCTGTTGAACTGAGAAAAAAATATGAATATCAAATGTTTGTCATTTTTGGAGATGGAGTGCTAGATCCACCGCAAGTTAAATTCTAATAATTCAAGCGAGATGGAAGCTGAGGCCTGCTTTCAAATATAAATCTAGTGAAATTCAGGGTTYCTTGGCTTTCATGAGGCTTAGATGTCAGTTGATCTCTGCAAAGGAGTTTCAGGACTACAGAAAATAAATTAGCCATGTTCCTTGATGGTCTTTAATTTACATAATGCTTATACATAGGATATAGCTTTACCCATTAAAAAGAGAAGCTGCTTTTCTTGACAGCTGAAATTATAAAGTACCATAATGTTGCAGAGCAGAAAATAGAAAAATTACACAACTTAAAGGATTGCCTTTATTTTAAGTTAGTGTATAATTAATATTATTTAGAAAGTGAAAAAATAAGAGAAATCTTTTACATAAATCAAAAAATAAGGCATTCAACTCAGCAAATGAGTTTTTGTTGTTTTCRAATCACATAAATCACTGTACATACTATCCCAAAGTATAATGCCAGATTGTATTAACCCTAATACTCATAGCAAAAATTGTCAGAATATTTGGTGTCTTACTAATTGTTTGTGAAATTTACTTGCCACGTGTATTTCTTTCAATCACACATTCCATTGCATGTCAGAGCTTGTAAATGCATTATCAAATCTTCTAATAGAGTCCATATTTTCATATATCTAAATTTTTTTGTTTGTCACTAAATTAGAAGCATTTGAATTAATTTAAATTAGCAGAACAATTTAAGTAAAAGCATCTGCTGTAGGCAATATTACAATCAAAAAGCATTACATGTATTCTACTTGCATTCTATCAGTTTATGACTTACACTGGATGGATGCCATACCGGTTTTTTGTCTCACAAGTTGATGTATTTCATTTTAATCCTACTGTATTAGCAACTAGGATACTGCAATTTGAAATAATTATTTGTAGATTTAATGCTTTTGTATTATAGCAGTTAATTTTGGCTTTCTAGGATAAATACCAAAACTTTTTGAATACCTTATAAAGTCAGAAGGATTTCTTCTTTGTGTGGTCAAAATATCATATGACATATGGGTAGATTTTCTTTCTTTTGCCTGTACTGGAGTGTAACACCATCAGGGACCATTGACATTTTTTGTCTTAATTCTTTTCTGTGTTGCTTTGGGTTTTTGAAAAATTTCTGTCATTCTATAGAGTTTTAGATTTATATTGAGTGTGTTCTTGATAAACCATTGCCATTAGAAATTCAGATGTTGGAACCAAGCAAGGCATATTCTAGGCACTGATGTTTCTCTAAGAATAGAAAGTCAGTACATTTTTGTGGTTGCCTCTGACCATTAACACTGGAGGAAGATTCTTGGAGAGAATTTCTAGCCAAGCCATGTACAGGTAATCAGACACTGCTCCTTTTCTTGCCACAGGGAGGCTCCTGTTTAGGCAGAGGGAAAAATAAAATTATCATTATGAAGGCAGGGGTAGCCCAAGCTTCTCACTAAATAATAAGTAGAGAACATCAGCTGTTCATATACAACTCTGATATAATTAGAATACATGATTAATTKAATATCATAAAGCAAAAAAATACCATTAGGCCTTAATTTGCAAATCTAGCTCACCCTGTAGTACTGAACATGAATTGTTTGTGATTGTAACCTTAAACTGGCAAAGAGTATTTTCGGAGTCATAAAATGCATACATAATATGATTTTAAAAAAGGATAAAAATACAGCACATGCACAGTTTTGCAGTCCATCAGCCTATTTTCTGATCTGCAATTACTGTGAGTTGGGAATTTAAAGTGTGGGTCAATTTATGGCAAGTATTACATGATCATGCCTTTTTTTTGAGATGGAATTAATAGAACTATAGAGGTTTATCTATGCATCACAAGTGCAAGCTAATTTATTGAAGATGTGTATAAAAATGTGTCTCTAAATATAAATTGATTCTGGAAAGGAATTTTTTGGGCTTTATTGGTGGCCTCTTTTCCTTTATACAATTGYGTGATCACCAGGAAAGATTCATATTCAGTGTAGTCTCAGAGAGCCATCAATCCAGATGCAAGTCCTTCAGAAGGTACTTRAAAGATTACTTTTGTGCTCAATGAATTAGCACAAGGGTTTTTGTTGCTCCAGTTCAGGATGGCATTACATGTTATTCTTAGAGTTAGAATCAAAAATCTTGCAACTCACAGGACAATGATGTTGGCTGCTCTCGAATGCTCTTGTAAGAGTTCATTCAGACGGACTTGACGGTAACTCTGATTAAAACAACAGGAARAGAAAAAATCAGTTAGGTCATTGATCCTCAGTTCTGGTGTCTTTTGGACTTCTGCCCGCCCTCTTGCCTGCAAGATTTTCTGCTGTTGCTTTGGCAGCACTGGAAGCCACCTCTGCTCTGGGGTCCAGAGTCATAGCAATGGCAAAATAGGAGACTAAGCCACACTTTTTGATTCGTATAGTTACATTAGGGTCAGAGTTGTTTGCCCCTGTGCAAGGTTTCCTGGGGATAGGGATTATTTTTGTACTGTGCTTACTTTATGGTCAACCTCAGGCCCTCAAAGTTTTTGTATTTTAACAAGTCACAGGGAACAAGAGACCAGGGCAGGTTTGTGTAAGATAGATGTATCTTAACTGATCTTGTAAATTATTTTCTCCTTCCATGGAAAGTAAAAAGCTGTTTTTTTTCTCCATTCTGTCCTTAAATTTTCCTTCTGTACAGAATTTTCAGTGTTCTTTTACACMTATTATGGGTTAGAATCCTCATAATTTAGCCAGTTGCTTCATGAGAATCATCCTGTAACATCACCCTTTATCTGTGCTGCCAGGTTTTTTTCAGGTGAATTGTAAATGTGTTCTAATGTCCTCTGTAAAATTCCCAGAACTGCCTTACTTCTGAAGATAAGGGGCATATCTTTCCAGATGTGTAAGCTAAACCTTTTGTTGCTGTTCTTGTTTTACAGTATAATTTGGCATTTTCATATTGCTGACACTTTTCAACCTATGGTTTTTTTTCTGGTTCCTAAGTGATGTAGAGAAGACCAAGCTTAATTATGTTCTTTTTCTATTGTGTCCTCCCTGGTTCTGYACACAAGTGTCTGTGATTATATTCCTGTTGTCTTTTATACTGAGATGTTTTAAGGGTTCTGACTCTCAATTTTTGATGAAATGGTGAGAGTAATTCTAAAGTTTTCTGCCCRTAGCTGACTACTATAACCTTATGCTGGTTATCAGCTCCATGARAAGGGTAATACAGTGAGCAGTCAATCTGCTCACAGCTGCTGCAGTCAGTAGTATAGTGTCTTATCTTCAATCATCATTGATTTCTGCTTATGTTARTATATCAGGCTGTGACTTCTGGCAGTTCTGAGCTCAGAGTTGCAATCCTTGCTCTGCTGAGGTTGTTATCAGCACCATAAAGTGAAGATAAGTAAACATCCAGTGTACTCAGGYTAATTCCACAGGAACCATAACTAAAATTGCTAGATTAATTCTCTCTGAGTTACAGGACAATTTGTCTCTTAAGGGTGAAAGAGTTTGCAGTATTCTTGTGTCACCGGCCTGATGAAGCCTGGTGGTTCATTGGTCAAAAAGGTATTTTTCCAGCAAATTTAAAGAGCAGACTGGGCTCCTGTTCACCCAGTGGATCAGCCAGCATCAGCTTTGAAGTTCCYCTGAACTGCCAGAGACCTCCTGCATGGTATACTGGTATACTGGTTTAGTCTTCACTGTACTATTGAGGTAAGAGTTCATGCTCAACCTTGCCTTCAGAGAAATTTCTAGCCTTAGTTGAAATGTCTGGATTCAGTTCTAAATTGCACAAAATGTTGAATGTTTGRAACTGCACCCTTTAGGAGATTCAAACTCCAAAACAGTGGAGCCATTTAATAAATCTCTCAGCAGATCCAATTAGCTCAGCCTCAGTGCAGCACCCGTGGCTTCTGGTTCAGAGGTGGTTTTCATCTGGCTGGCTTTGATGTGGGCAGAGCCTGTCATCAGCCTGGAAAAYACTGTGTAAACATGCCAAGGTCTGAGAGAGCTCAATGATGCAATCATAACACACCTCTGCAGCGTTTACAATATAAATCCAATCTGTAAATATCAAATACAGGTTTGTACATGCCATGTTTCTAATGCCATATCAGTTATTTCACATTTTCCTGCTAATCACTTCAAACATCTGGAGGGTAAGAAAAGGTACATATRTAAAAAGGAAGGTGAGGCTTTACCTTCTCCTTGAATGCTTCCAGCTCTGCATCTGTAATTTTCCATGGAGCCTCTCTCTTTAATTTCTCAGCAGTTGTTATATCTTTGCAGCTTTCGTGGAGGCGATATGGTTCAATCATCTCTTCAAAGAATTTCCAGCTGAAACGGAAATTACAATGGAGGTCTTGCTGCAGGGTATGAACTYGCTAACTTATTTCACAGTAGCTGTGTATGACAGGCCTCACTGATAATAATTATAGCTGAAAAACGTGCAAAATCTTTAACTATTCTTCACTACATTGTGCCCCAAGTTATATCTGTGCCACTTCTGTATGTTTGGATTATTTGAGGATACTTTAAAGGTTATTTGAGGATAATTAAACACTGCATTTAGCTGAGAATTTTCTGCATTGTCCTGGTTCTAGAGAAAATACTGGAATGGGTTTTACAGTAACTCCAAACTGCAGTATAGTGGTTACTAATATTAACAATGAATGTGAGTCTCCTCATGAATACTGAGTTTTTTACTATTTCAGCACTGGCTGGACCGATCATCTTGCTGATACAGTTTTACTGATGGTTTTAATGAAATGGATAAATAGATTATACAAATTGCTTGTGACAAGGGGCTGAAGGAGACATTGTAGGGTTTTCTCTATATGTGGACTCAGAATTATGTTCAGATTTTCTCTCTAAATTTCAAGTTGTTTCTTGAATTTTGAAGTGTTTTCTTCTGGAGAGCCTTATTGTCCTTTTGTACTTCCTTGCTTGCCCATTGTTGAAAGTTTCTACCATCCCACAGAAAACTCAGGGAGTTTCTTTTGTATGGATGGGAGTATTTCTCTGAGCACTTTGTGCTAACAGGCCTCACTGTGATGTGAAATGGGAGACTGGGCACAGGCTGGACTCAGCTCTGTCTGGGAAGCCAAGAGATGGGTTAAAGGCCCTGATAGTGTTTAGTGTTGCTAAGTTGTCAGAGTTTGTCAACATCCTTATTGTCTGTTTCAATATGTAAAATAGTGATAATCCTCTTACTATTATTGAAATAGATGGGATGCCAGCTGGAAGAGAGATACAATGGTCTGTCTAGCAAGTGTCTGGCATAATATTCACTTGTTCAGTTCAGATAGTGATGATGCAGCAAATGTATGTGTTTTATATGTTAATGTCAGATCTGAATTCTTTTTTATAGCTTTTATTTATGTAAAACCACTGTATTGTACCGGAAGGAAAAAAAGTATTCTGCACAGTTTTTTATATAATTAAAATGTATTACCTGAGAGACCAAGAGGGCACTAAAAGGGGACTTTGGATGTCTAGTAATAAAATCTTTATATTCTTTAGTTGTATTTCTTCAGTCAAAATCTCCAATGGTCCATAGTAACACTGATGAATCTAAGATTGTTTCTGCCAAGTTTCGTGTGTGTGTAGAGATGGGACACAAAAGGATTAAGAGCCTAACCTGGAATTGGGCTTGAACTCAGAGGGAAGGCTTTGGTTGGAGTAAGGGATGGGATGGAAGAGAGTATAGCAAGATCAGCACGTTTTCAGAAGAATTGTAAGACTAAGAGCAGTACTGTAAATTGAGATTAGGATTCAATTGTTCCCGGAAAACATCCTACTATATACTTGTGACTGCATAAGCAGAATAAATACATGATTTCTCTGGAGATATGTTTTAGAGGGCAAGGTTAAGTTTTGGTGGTTTGGATTTTTGTTTTTCTACTAACACAGTAGAAGGTGGAGCTTTTTGAGCACTGTTTTACTGACTTCCTAACCTCTGTCTAAGACCATTAATTCTGTAGATGAGTTAATTTTTAAAATATTGAGCCTTCATTATATCTGAGTGATAGGGGAGTATTATAATATCCTCATGGGAGAGAGTAAGTATGTTTGTGTTTGACCAGAAAAATGTTACAAATTTGTTGTAAAACCCAGAAGGCTGAGTTGACAGTGATGGTAAGTTTTCAGGAGAACTGTGACTGACTGGAGTCTATTGCAACCGAAATAAATATGAAAAGTTATCATAATGTGTCTGTTAAATTTAGTGGGTGATACGTATGGTGTCTAATTAGTCTTTGCAACATAAAGAAAAAGACTACACATGGTTTTGACCCTTTAAGCTGTGATTGTTAAAAGGTTTTTTTCTTTTTCTTGCTCTTGATACTTAGAAAATTATTACAATTTAGTGACAATGTTATTTTCTGTGGTGTGTTTTGTCTTTTTGTTTTTAATGTTCAGCATAAAAGAAAAAGCTCTAGATAAAGGCTGGCTGCTAAATAATGAATTTTGATAATGCTTCTTACCTCTCTTTGTTGGGCTTTATATTGATATCACAAATGATATTAATATCAGCAAATTTTATTCTGAATTTGCTTAGGAGTGAAGCCATCCTGAAAACAAAAGAGAGAATATTTTATCATTGTATTTTTGAGTATCTTGTATCAAAGAACAAATGAGTTAGACAATTGCATTTTATATCTTATCTTAAACTATATGACAAATTACTGTAAATGCTTTAGTGTTTCAATTTCCAATTACAGAACTGGATTAATGTGATTGCTGTAGCATAATTCATTTAACTGATGATCAATGAAAATCACAAGAAAATGAAAATTAATAGCAGACAGAGGGCAGAGTATTTCCATTTTGGGAAAACAATGATACTTTAGGTATTTGCAAAGACTTGAGTTATAAAGGAAGAATATTTAATATACAGTAGGTCAGAATTCTCTAATGCATACAGAAAGCTTCTATTATTCTGTTACTGTCAGAATGCTGTGCATGGAGTTTGTACGATACCAGTAGTGTATGTGTTGGTGAAAATTTGGTTCAGAAGGTTGGTGTGCAATAAAGAATCTTTCTCATCTCTTTCATTTATGAATTTTTATTGATCTACTCACATATTGTCTTTACACATGTTCATAAAAGAAAGTACTTTGCTTTATTGCTCCAGTTGGCAGAAGGAATAGTTTATAGCTTTTTGTGTGTTTGTACTGAGGTTAGAGAGGTTTAATTAAGCAAAACAGTTTTGCCTTTGTTTGAACCATGGTTGGGATGTTATGGTTCTTCCCCACACCTTCTTCTCCCACTTTCTTTTTTGTTTCTTTTTTCTTTTTTTCGGTATGTAAGCTTTGGATTTTGAAAAGGTCAGATAGTTCCTAGCAGCAAACCATGGTAGAAATACATTTTTGTTTATGACCTGAGAGTTTACTCTTCTTTTATATATATATATATATATATATGTAAGAAAAACATACCCCTTGTATTTGTATAAATCTTGATGTCCCTTGGGGCAATCCTTGTTTCGAAAGTAAAGAGCAAAATGTCAACTTCTGTGGAAAGGTTTTAATATTTGGGGAATTACATGCTAGTAATGGTCCAGTTAAATTTGACTTCTGAATTTGAAATACGTGGCTGAAATTGTACTTGGATTTTGCATTAGATCTACCTAGGGAATGGAGGAGCCATCCAGTTTGGATTTGTCTCTTTGAAGGCTTTTGCATATGGCAGGTAGATCATGTTTTGAGAAAAGATGGTGTTTAGGTAGCAATACAGACAAATCCTGTTTCCTTGGGGACAAACTGGGTCATTATCAGCTGTCCTGATCGTGCTGTTTACTCTGGCCTTTGTGGGACAAGCAGTGGATGCAGGTGTCAGACATGCCTCTGTGAAATCTGTCATGTTTTGACAAATCCCTTTTGGTGTCAAAACTTCCTGCTTCCAGCAAAATTTGGTGATTAGAGGGTCTAGATTCAGGAGCCTGGTTGCAGTCCTGGTTGCAGCCAGGATTGGGCAGACTCTGGACAGGAAGCAGAGAACTCTTCCCCACAGTCCTTGAGCAGCTCTAAGGCTTTCTTTTACCCAATTACACAAATAGTTTGTACAAACATTTGTGGATCTCTTCTACAGAAGTACATGAACTTTAGGGTAATGTTTAAAATTGACTGACCACATTGGAGTAAAGTTTGCTTTATGTTTTCTCTTGATTTCAGGGAACATCTTATGGCACCTGTCTTTCCAAGGCACTGTGTTCTAATCCTTGTAAAGCTAATGATTCTAACTCCTGTCCTTGAACCCCTCTCACTTGTTTGCCCCTGGAGTATTGACTGAAGATGATGTTTTTAACTGTCTACATGGTGCTTCTGCTCTTTGTTAAGCAGTCACTGACTTTCATCCCACTGATGGTGAAATGGCTGTGCCTCCAGTGTGTAAAGTGCTGTGAAAGGAAAGGTCCTACATACAGTGATTATAAAAAATAAGTTTATATCAGTACTTTCATTTGCTCAAAGGCATATGATGATTATGAAATCTGGACTTTTTTTAAAATGCTGAGTAAAATCAACTTGGCCTTAAAGTTGATTAACTTTTTAACTTCCTTATATTTTACCACAGTTAATCACATTTATGTGAATTATCTGGCTATACTATGTGCATTTGAGAGCTTCATATGCAATTTCACTTGCTGCTACCTGGACAATCTTATGTAAATCCCATAAAAGTAATTATATTCTCATTACAGAGTGCAGACTGCTCTTCTCAGAGAAGGCAATATGAGCTATTAATGRGGAAAAGTGCTGGATGTGAGTTTCCTTTGGTAATCACCATTTGCAGAGCCTTGAGGGCTATGCCRTAAGTTCAACACATTTCAATCAAGAACTTTTTTTTTTTATGCTGCCCACAGTGCAACAAACCAGTTGTGCTGAAGAAGTTCCACTTTCCTGCTGTATATGCATTATATTCAGCATCAATTCAAACTCTTTAAACAATGAGAAAAGTAAAGGTGTATTTACACTAGTTTTTCCTCTTCAATCCTATTGACTTTTCCTCCAGTGAAGATCCTTAATTTACAGTTCTTCCACTTCTTCCTGATAGTTAGAATGTAGGGAATTARGATTGTTAGACCTGGAAGAACATATAAAATTGGAGGGATATCAGATTAGTGCATTGTATAGTAAAAAAAAATAATTTATCTTTTACTTCAGCAGTGTTAGAMATAATTTTAAAACCTTACAGTCTGATATAAAATTGACTATGCAAGCTTAACAGAAGCCAGTTTTATGCAAATTCCCAAGTTGATTTTTRTATTTGGTAACAGAGAAATCTCTCTCCCTGTGGTTCCTACTCAAATTCCTTACCTCCATCATCGAACAGCCACCAAATGTCAATTGTACCTTTTCCTTGCTTCTTTTTAAATTGAGTGCTGGCTTCTAGCAGCTTCTGATTGAATTCACCCACATGCATTGACTGTATGGTGTTAATGGTGCTCTCTGTAATAAGAAAGAAAAAAATTTGGAAGGATGTCTGATAAGTGAGGCAATAAGTAGTTTAAGGGAGCCAAATGGAGGGAAAGCTTCAGGAAAATGTACTGTTTCTAACATAATTTCTGTACTTGAAATCTGAAAAAAAAGGTACAGAGTAGATGCTTTGGACTTATAATGTTCTAATATACACAGAAACCAAAGCTTGTGTTATTACATTGTCACTAGATCATAACATCTTGAAAAAGGCTACCTGATTATTTGTTCTCTGTCTCTTTTTAGTTGATGTAAAATTCACTGGGGCCTTAAAATGCAACTGGGAAATATCTGATGGATTTWAGAAGTAAATGTGTCATTTTGCATAGTTTACAAGCTCAGGTGTCTTGTAAAATACAGAGCTCCCTGAAAGGCACAGTCACAGGGGATGAAATGAGCTGATGAGGTACAGGGAGAGCACAGGTGAAGCTGCAAGTCAGAAAACACAAGCACATATGGGTGTTTCCCTGTGCTGACATGGTCACTGCTAATTGGAAATAAATTTTGATTCTTGCTGTTTGCTTGGCTGGCTTTAAAAGGTATAGTCTTGACTCTGTACTGACAATACCTTCTCTCATTCCATCTTGACTCTACTAACAATACCTTCTCTCATTCCACCTTTTGAAGCCTGTGGCTTTGTTATTTCTTCTCTTTCAGTGATTTCAAAGAGATGGTGTCAGAACAATATTCTAAGTGGAACAGAGAGGCTTCTTCAGAGGTTTTACTCTGATCTGCTAGTTCTGAAAATGCTTTGTTTGGTTTTCCTCTGTTTCTGAAGTGTGTGTAGGATAGTTCTAAAGCAGTTACTGGCTTTCCTCTWCAATTCTAGCTAGCATCTCTGCTGGAGGATGCAACAACTCTGGGGAGTATGAACATAAAAATGAAACAGAGAGGCAGGGCTATTTATTACTATAATCTATCTAATATAGAGAGCCCAAATGTGTAATATGTATTTCCTTTATGCCTTTCTCAACTAAATCAAAAAGGGAAGTTGAAACAGGGGTGCACACTCTTGGTGGAATTGTCATAAAAATATATTCTACTGAAAGCTGCGAAATGAGCTGAAGTCTGCCAGCTGAAAAATCATGGCATTTTATGTTCCCAGTCTGTAGATCTTCCAGGTACCTGTGGGAGTTGTGTGCACAGCCAGATGTAATAGTYTCTGCAGGTGAAAACTCTCAAAATTCGGGTCTGCRTACAAGCATGGCTTTGGGTGGGTCATTACCATTACAGCCTAGCAGTTATGAAATRAGACCTTAAGTTGGGTCTGTAGCATTTTACTGTATCTGAAATGTAATGTTGACTTCATCAGCTACACATTTAAGTTATGTGCTAATTAGTGACTTGACAGTATGCGGTGTATGTACTTTCAGTATTTTTACCACCTTCACTTGTGCATTTTTATGAAATTATGCTTAGAATATAGAGCAGTTGTTCTATTTTTACCTGTTTTTCAGCTGTGTACTGTTTGTGTGTGTGCATGTTGAGTAAGTTTGCATGTTCCCTGAATATTGTGCATTTGTTCCAATTTTCTTTAGAGAGGAGAAAAGGCCTCTGCTTAAAAACTTAAAACACCCTATTGAAAAGAAATAAAAATCAAAAAAACCCCAAACCAATATGTTCTGTATTCCTCAAACTTTAATAACTGTGTTCCTTTTTTGACAAGTAGAAGTGAACCTAAGCTGAGCTGAGCAGTTTATCTAGCCAATGAGGGGGGAAATGTTTGTGTTGTAGGTAGTGTGTCCTACGAGCTGAGGATGTCACCGTGCTGCATTACTGGATTGTGGCCACCACAGTTTGCACAAAGGAGGTCCTGTTGCAGGGGCTTCTGTGTGGCTCAGGAGTTTTTGGCTTGGAGTTAAGTCCAGTTTGCATATTGGTGACAGTGCAGTGCATTGAAGAGCTGGGGATAAGTTGTTATTTTGGGACTTACCCTTCTTTGTTTCCTGTTTTGAGATATTGAGTGTGCTGGCTTTTTTGAAGAATCCACAGATGCCCTTTTTTCCTTCTTCAAAATCATTTTCTTTAATGGTGGCTTCCAGAGCCARTCTCTCCTGCTCCAGCTTCTCTAATTCCTCTGTTAATATTTAGAAATAAATAATAGTAGAAAAAAGTAAGAGAACTGGTAACACATTGCTGTCTTTTAAATGAAATCCCTGACTGAATGATATAATTGGTGTTGTGGTACTTTGTAGACAATATGAAGCTCCTGGGACAAAAAACTCTTWAAATGCTTTTTCTTTGCAAATCAGTAGGGAGGAAGAAGCTGAATTCACCTCTGAAAGGCCTACAGAAATACATAATGATCCTGAATAAATGATCATTGTCTGTACTGAAACATTTTTCATGTTTTAATCTTTTAAGCATTTGCTGCAAAGATGTAAGATTAGCTAATCAATTCTGTAAATGTAGTAATACAGAAGAACAATTTCATCTTAGCAATATTAGACTTCTGCTGAGAAAAAGGTACCATGTGTTATTGTGGAATATATTATGGTGAGGTACTAATTAATATGATCCAGGCATTTGCCTGCAGAAAACTTTTTTCATAAGRAAAACTTCTATTTGAGTAATACATGAACTAAGTATGAAGTAAGTTAATTTAAGACATTGTATTAAAAAGTGAAATGAACCCTCACTAGCTAGACATTATTAGCTCTTTTAGCACCCTCAGTTGCCAACAGAAAGAATATACTTTCTTCTACTTTTTAATCAATGACAGTCGTGTGCTTTTTATTATACATGGTGATAGCCACAAACTTAATGGTTACTCAAAACTAAAATTTCAGCTTCTCTGTTGAACAGAATGCTGTATTAAGTATAAGAGAATACAATGATCATTGTWTTCCACTACAAAGACCCTGTATCTGCTTCAAAATATTTCTTTGTATTTGAGGCTTGCCCCCCCCCTTAATTCTTTCTGACTCCTTGTGTCTTAACACTTGAGCATTTGCTCGTTTGTAAGAGTGCCAAGTTGTTTTTCATTGTATTTTTACAGGTGTTCCAATGATTGTGTATTCTGAGCACTAGTTTGACTTGCATCGAAAAGAGACAGGCAGATCTCTCTCAGAAATCACCAGGGGGAGAAGAAAAGCCTGATCCGTTTGGAATTTTTTTTTTTTGAGTCCCTGTAGTTTTGCCCCGTGGGTCTCCATGCACATCAAGCTGCCAGCTCTGAGTGAGTACTCATCTATCCTTGTTCCTCAAAAATGAGTCTCTGGCGCCTTTTAATTCTGCGCGGTGATTTGCTTGGAGGGGTTCCCTCATTTACCTGACCCTTTTGCTTGGAGGG